GGCCACGACCATCCGAGGGAAAACCATAGAGTTTTCCCTCGGATGGCCGTGGCCCCGCCCCCAGTGTGCCCGGCGTGCCCGCGTCACTTCCGGGAGACGTGCACGTCGGGGTGGAGTTCCCCCCGGGGCCCAATCTGCCAGCAGTGGGGAACGGGCCTCTGGGGTGGGGGTTTCCCCGCCCCCCGGGGGGACCTGGCAAGCCTAGACCCACAGTTGGCAAAATCCAGTTGGAAAATGCACTGAAAGTGGATTATTTAGTGTGCGTGACCTCAGCCGGTGATTCCGCCTCACTTTTTCTCTCATTTAAAAGAGGGATTTCTCTTTCATTTTTCTTTGATTTCCCTGCCTGGAAGCCCTAGCAGAAGGTTTAAAAACTACAACAAAACCCACCCCAAGCCCAACTGCTATTTATTTGGTTCATTTATACCCTGCCTTTCTTCCCAATGGGGACTCAAAGCAGCTTACATCGTTCTCTTCTCTTCCATTGTATTCTCAGGATGACAACCCTGTGAGGTAGGCTAGGCTGAGAGAGTGTGATGGGCCCGAGGTTGCCCAGTGACCTTCCATGGCACGAGTGGGAATTTCAGCCTGGCTCCATGCCAGGGTCTGGAACAGAGACTGCTTTGGACACCTTGGTTGATAACCTTTCCCGAGAACTAGACAGGGGGGGATGTGACCCTGCTGGTTCTGCTGGATCTCTCAGTGGCTTTCGATACTATTGACCGTAGTATACTACCGAGCCACCTCTCAGCACTGGGACGGGAGGGGGGGCATCATGTTACGGTTGTTCAAGTCCTATTGGGGGCCGTCTCAGAAAGTGGTGGTGGGGAATCCTGCTCTGCCCCAGAGCGGTTGATCTGTGGGGTTCCTCAGGGTTTGAACTTATCCCCCATCTATATACTAATAGCAAAGTTGCCCCCGTGAGTGCGGATCGCTAAATCCGCGCTCCGGGGGCACTTGGGGGGGAGGGGGAGGTTTGTGTAACTGCGGGGGGGAAAAAAGGGGGGGGGGGGGAGTGGGCCCCCCCCCCCCCCCCCCGCGAGTATCACGGGTCCCCCTCTTGTGCTATATAATATCTACATCAAGTCGCTAGGAGAGGTCATCATGAGGTTTGGGCTGTGTGGACTGTACACTGTCTCCTGCCTCAGACTTCAGAGGCAGCACCATAGATTTAGATAGATAGAGAGGGGTCAGGACACATTTCAGGTTCACAGAGCCAGTTTGGTGTAGTGGTTAAGTGCGCGGACTCTAATCTGGGAGAACCAGGTTTGATTCCCCACTCCTCCACTTGCACCTGGCTGGATGACCTTGGGCAAGCCATAGTTCTGACAAGTGAAACAACCACAAAATATCCCGTGAAATAACTGTGTTCAAGGTCTGCTACCACTCAAGGTTTTTATAAAGGCGTATGTTTAACACAATGCATAAATCAAAAACAATACATGAAATAAACGTTCCAGTTAGCTTATGACATTTAACACTAAGGCTTAGAAGAATACACAAAAAGCCTTCCCAGTTAGACCAATGAATAGGCTATACACAGTCCATAGATACACTGTGGTCTTCTTGATTTTTTCTCAGTTGCCAACTTCCAGGTCTGCAAGGAGGCTGTAACAGGCTGGCTGACTTCTCTTGTCGGCCGCGAGAGTGTCGACTATGTTTCTTCTTCAGAGCCAAATTCTTATGGAACTAATAACAAAGCAAACAAACATCTAGTGAGACCTTTGGGTAATGAAGAGCGGGGTATAAATCCAATCTCCTCCTCCTCCTCCTCCTCCTCTTCTTCTTCTTCATGACAACAAGCCATAAGCTGCACACACTTAGAT